TTATTTGTTGATTGCTCTTCAGAATGCATATGTAGATCATTGCATGTGGTTACAGGTTGACCAGCACTGCTTGCTTCTAGCCTTTGATCACTACTGACATCAGCATTAATATCTGACCTTGATATAGTCCTAGCTTGCTTGTGTGGACTGTTGACAACTGGTATGACCCTTGATCGAATTACTTCTTTACCACCTCTATTATGAGTTGCTGCTTTGTGAGCAAAAAGAAAAATATTTTCATTGAACACCACACTTCTGGAAACATAGATTCTGCCATGCTCATCCATGCACTGATAACCATGATGCATAGGAGAGTACCCTAGGAAAACACAGGCCTTGGATCGAAAATCCAACTTGTGTGTGTTGAACACCCTAAGGTTAGGAAAGCACTGACAACCAAAGGTTTTGAAGAAGTTGTAATTAACAGGCTTGTCATACAGCTTCTGATAATGAGAGACATTACCAAGGATCTTGGAGGGCATTCTGTTGATGAGGTATACTGCACTGAGAACTGCATGAGACCAAAATGTTAGAGGCATTGAAGCTTGTGCTAGTAGAGTTAAGGCAATTTCTACTATATGCATGTGTTTCCTTTCCACCAGCCTATTTTGTTGTGAGGTATGTAGACATGATTTCCTGAGCTTAACACCAAGTCCAAGTGAGACAGCTTCAAGAAAACTAAACTCACCTGCATTGTCTGTTTGTAATGCAAGAATAGTTGTTTTAAATTGATTTGAAACTAAGGCAGCAAACATTTCAAAAGAGACACCAACCTCACTTTTATTCTTTAAGAGATAAACCCAACTGTTCTTTGAGTACAAGTCTACAAAACTCACAAAGTATCTGAAACCACTAGAAATAATAGGAGCAGGGCCCCATATATCAACTTCTACTAACTCAAATGGTTGTTTGTACACAGTTTGTGACATAGGAAATGGTTGAGCTTTTCTTTTTCCCATCTGATTGGTTGCACACACTTCACTTTTATCTATACTTAGCCTTTTATTGAGGATTGTCATTACCACCTCAGCTGCTGGATGACCCAACCTCTTAAGCCACAACCAATAGTCATTGGCATTTTTAACAACAGTGTTGTTAAGTGTTGTTGTTTCTTGCATAGTTTGACAATCAAAGCTGTAAAGTCATCCATCAAGCTTCTCTTCTACCAGCACGATGCATGTGCTTTCATCCTTAACATAACAAGCATTTTTATGAAACTCAAAGAAAACTGAATTGTCTTGAGTAAATTTTGAAACTTGTCTTGAGTAAATTTTGAAACTGACAAAATATTCTTGTTAATATTGGAACATGAAGTATGCGATCAAGCAAGAGATCCCTAGAAACAGTCTTTAAAGCATTTCTACCAATATGAGCAATTAGAATAATGGAACCATCTCCTAGATGAACCTTACCACTGCCAGTGTAAGCTTGTTTGCTCGAGAATGTATAAGTGGCGCCATTTACATGGTGTGTAGCTCCTGAATCAGGAAACCATTTTGCATAGTTCAAAAGACCATTGGTAATTAATGCGTTAACCTGCACATTGTCATTTGGCTTAATGGCAGCTGAATCTTCATCTCCTGCATTGGCACTTACAAAGGGACTGTAATGACAGTCAGATGTTCGAGGGAAGCATGAACACATGTTCATCTGCATGTCATTAGACGAGGAGCTTTGCTGAGCAGTTACACCTTTGAAGTTCTGATCAAACCTATGCCAGCACCTGTCAACTAGATGACCTAGCTTTCCACACAGTTGACACTGTTGTTTGGGTATTCCCTTATACTTGTTATTTGCAGTATTGTTAGACTTAGCAGTACCACGATTCTTATATTGTTGAGTGTCCGAGACCTTGTTGGTGTTGTAGCATGTGAAATTAACTCCTATTGGAAACCTTGATGATTCATCAAGGCGAGACTCATCAGCAATGAGAACATATACCACATTGTCGAAGGCAAATAGTTCTCTGCTTGCAGTAATTGCAACCATCGTTGGTTCATATTTGACTGAAAGACCATTAAAGATGGTGGCGATGTGATCAATGTCTGAAATATGATTACCACACGTGGCTAAGATGTCACATATTTCTTTAATGGCCATGGTGTAATCTCTCATAGATTGAGAGCCTTTCTTCATCGATCTAAGGCGACAATGCAATGCCATTATTTTTGTGGTAGACAGCTTGGAATACAACCTGGTAATGGCATTTCAAATTGCAGTTGTGGATTCAGCACCAACCAATTGAGGAAGAATATTGATGCTAACAGTGGAAAGAAGCCAAAGAATTGTCTTGCTTGACATACCGTAGATAAACTGGATTAACAACTTGCTCGCCAGCATCGTTAAGTGTTAGTTTTACTGTAACCACCATGGATTCATCAAGAAAATCTTCAAGTCCAAGCCCTCTTATTGTGAGAATCACTTGCTGCTTCCAAAGAAGATAGTTTGAATCAGTTAAGCATACGTTGATTCTTTTATTAGAAAATGTATGCGAGCTAGCTTCTGTTAGCTGCTCATCCTCAGCTATCATCGACATGCCTTGTACCATGACTCTTCTTCGAAAAACAAACAAGAACCAGAAAGCAAGAAAGAAGAAATAATAGCACACAACAAAAGTCTTTTCAAGATCTAAAGTAGAATGATACCATGTTAACTATAGAATGAGCTTAGTATGGAAATGCAAGAAAGGAGTGTTTCACTATGAATATAATTGATGCACTATTTACACAGATTGAGCAACCATTTAAAGCCTCCAATGAGTTGATGTATAGTTGGTTACAACTAACTACAACCACTTAACTGCTTAGCAACTACTTAACCGAATATGGTTTAACATGGGGAATGTTATGGGCATGAATGTTACGGACGCAACCTGCATAACGACGGGGAACAATGTGTTGAAGCTGCAAGGGATCACTAAGTTGAACAAGTGGAATTGCTTGTAGGTTACTATAGCTTGGGGATTTTGCTTTAGGTTTGTGTTTTATTTGACTTTATTGTTTGGAAGCAAGAACAAGAGGAAATGAAAATGCATGTCAATTAAACTCTTAATTCTACTTATCATATCATAATGTATTTTTTTTATAAAACATCATAATAAAATGGCATGTCTAAAATTTTATAAGACATGATGGAATTTTTATGTTTCACTATTAAAAAATTAACAGGAATATTATTCATGATGCGGAAAGACCTATTTTTACCTACATAGTAGATTTAATTTATCATTTTCGCATTTATGGTATTTTCGCATCAATTTAGCCATTAAAAGTTGTTTAAGGACATCATCCTAGCTCTTGAAGTCCATTTTGACTAACAAAACCGTTAGTCTTTTACGTCTGCAGACGCCAATAATTTTCACGTCAACCAATATTGCTGACGTGGCATGATGATAACGTGACATTTATTAAAAAAATATTTACTAAACACAATGGTTAGAAAAAAATCCCAAAAATTTTAACCTAATCCCTTAATCTCATTGAAATAAATAATAAACGTTTGGGAATTTTTTTCTAACCGTTGTGTTTAGTAAATATTTTAATCTAATCCCTTAATTCACAGACGTAGAACACTCACGGTTTTGTTAATCAAAACGGTCAATGAACTTCGAGGGCTAGGATGATGCCCCTAAACAACTTCGAGGGCTAAATTGATGGAAAAATATCATATAGGCGAAATGATAAATTGAGTCTATTACAGGGGCAAAAGTAGCCCTTAAGTATTTTTAATTTGAACTCTATACTTTAGATAAAATATTAATTTGATATCTAAAATTTAGATAAAATATCAATTTAATCCACGAATATAATCAAAGCTCCCTTTCTTCAGGCGTCGGTCACCACCGTCACCGATCATTGTCGATTATCTTCATCACCGATGATCGTTGGATCCTAAAATTTCCAATTCACTCCTTAATGGCCTCCCAAATGCAAATTTGATATCTATTTCATCGAAAAACGTCTCAAACTCTATAAATCTAGCCTAAAATCTGAATATATATCATAATCAAATCTATAATTTTTTTATAATGATATAGATTTAGATAAAATTAAATCATCATAATAAAAAAGATTATGGTGTAAATTCCATACTTGTGATAAATCAAGAATCCTAATAAACATACTAAATAAAAAAACCAAACTGAATATTTCTACTTTTTCATCCAACTGGTATTTGCTTTGATTATTCATCAACAAGATTCCAAATTTAATTAAGTACTTAATGAAATCCCACTGCATGGAAAGCTATGATTGTATACAAAGTGGACTGGTTGCACCTTATAGGTTCCTTGTATGTTGAAGTAGTTTATCCTCAACACTTCCATAACTAGAGATTGATTCTTACAATGACTTTTGTCGTAACAAAATTGGTCGACCATTATAGAAGTTTTGTCTTTTGAAACTTGAACGTTTGTGAGCAATGGTAAATGAAGGACAACAGCATGTATATAATTGGAAAAGAAGTCTGACCCATCAAAGTATTGATGAGTTATGAATGTATAATTTTATGTTAGGGGTCAACTTATAAAATTTTCAGGAGAGTCAACTTATAAAATTTTAAAATGTAAAAACATGTTTCCAATAAAAAATACAAAAGCATATCTAAAATATATAAGATTTTAAAATTTTTAGAAGAGACGATTGTTCTCATGTATTTACTTGAACCACACTCGAGTATTGTTGAATTTATTTTCACAGTACGAATATGGAACAGAGAGTAAGTTGGAAATTAGGTTGATTTGAACAATGATATCAATGAATATATTATTATATATACATAGGCAACTACATTGGAAACTCCTACCCACGTGTATTACTCCAACCATAAATCTACTTAAAGGCGGCCCCTTTCTTGGTCAATAAAATAAACAGCATTAGCATATCCACTCTTTGCCTACTAACACACCCTTGCCCATTGCTGCTCTAATCATGGCAATATAAGCAATATAAGCACGAAGCAATCCCACTTCCCCCCATCATTTCTTTCTTTGATAGCTTTTTTTTTTCCATCAGAACTTTGAAGAAATGAGTTCTATTTGCATATCTAGTTGTTTGAATGATGCTAGAGACCCCCGGGTGCCCGTGAGGGCAACGTATGTGAATCTTTACAAGTGGCTCGAGTCGGATGCCGAGTTCGTAAGGTCGAGGAGCTCATCGGGGTCCATCCATGGTGGTCGAGCATCGGTTAGAGTCGTCGACGGTATCTCGTGCAGGCAGATGTATCTGAGGAGCTATAGGTTCTCGAGGAAAGAAAGCGTGCCAGAAAAGGTGGTGAAATGTTTTGGGAGAGTGAAGGAGAAGGTTGTTCGGAGGAAGAAGCAGAAGAGACGTATTGGAAGGAAGTGTTTGGTGTGGAGGAAAGTGAAGGTTGTGTTGTTTAGGTTCTTCAGTAGGTTGCTCTCTTGCTCTGCTAGTGTGCATGTTGTGGATCCAAGGAATGTTTTCCTTTGATTAACTTTGTTTTTTATTTAATCTGATTTTGTTTTGTTAATTATGGGTTTATTTATTTGTTCAATTATTTAGTTTACTTATTTGAAACTATTAGCTTGTAAAAGTTGTAATGAACAAGTATTTCAGGCATAGCATGAAGATTAAAATTAGCTTGTTGCTTGAAACTCTAAAATGACATTCTCAAATGTATGGTATGTCAAAGGTGAAAGTACCTAAACAGTATCTCTACTATTTTAAAATGAGCAAAAAAGTCATAACAACCCGACCTGACCTGTTTTTTTTTTTTTTAAAGGTTCACATCATGTTGGGTTTTTTAAGGTATGTCAAGTCAACTCAAATTTAGATTTAGGGTGAGAAAATTTGATGTATATATTTAAAGATAATTATAATAATACTCCTCTTTATTTTATTTTAAATTAATTTTTTATTTTATATAATAAAAATAAATTTATATATATAGACTTGATCGAAGTGGGTGAGGGTTTTGACTTAAAATATTGGATCAGGTTTCGGGTTAGATGAGAAACCTCCTAAACCCAAATTAGATCGGGTCGAAAGCGAGTAGAGAATTTCAATTTTCGAAACAAATTCAGGTGAGTCAAAAATCCAACTCAACTCGACCTATTACTATTCCTAATCTTAGAACTCGAAAAAACATAAATTTGTGTGAAGATCTACCACAAAAGTAGAATATAAGAGCATCACATGTATGATTTCTGAAATTACTTGGTTGAGTGTGTTGTTAAGTGATATGAGAATTGATCAAGGCCCAATTGTAGTTGTGTGGAGTGACAATACTAGTGATTTGGCTATAAGTACTAGTCCTGTGTTTGATGCTCGTTCAAAACATATTGAGTTGAATTTCCATTTCATTCGTGAGAAGGTTACTGATAAGAAGCTGTTGGTTAATTATGTTCCATCTCCTTATCAAATAGTTTATGGTCTTACCAAACTATTATCTTGTGCTTATTTTATTTTGCTTCGAGAAAGATTTAATGTTCGATCTGTTGAAAAGTTATACGAAACAAGAGCTGGAAGGAGCAAGATGAATGTTATGACGGGGAGCTAAATGATAAGTTATATTGCAATTTCCATTATAAAAACGATCATGGAACCTAGAAGGAATTCATCACACAAAAGCTGACAATTACCAGTGCATTTTGACAACTTTTCTCCTACTTCGTTGCTAATTGGTCGAACGCTTTTCTAAGTTTAACCACAAAATATACGTAAATTCTAGTTGAGCACTGCCAACAAGAAACAAACAAACACAAGGCATTACCATTCAAATTGCTGACAAGGCCAATTGGAAATACATAAATGAATAAGTCAAAAGTTGAAACAGCAAAACGCTGGGTCAATTGACTTGCACACAACAACCAAAATATGCTCCAAACATTAACTAACAATAATAATCAAAGACCATACTCCGTAGATTATATTGAGTGATTTGAGTGGTAAAATAGAATATTGTTCTACTTAAAGGACTCATATTCGAGCAACTGAATGAATGTAGGTTGCCAAAGACTAAGAAAAATTCTAAACATATATGAAATTTACAAATTTGAATTATATGAGAAGTGAAAACACCTCTAGCCAGCATCAAACCAATATTTTCGACATAATATTTCATTAGATGCATCTAATATCGTAATATAATTCACATAAACCTCTAGCATTGCAATACAGAAGAAACTTGAAATCTTGTTTTAAATTTCAACCAGCTAAGAGAAACTCATTAAGTTGTAAGAAATACAGATTTCAGTAACAAGTTAAACATAATAAGAACAGTAATAAAGTAACTGATCAAAACATATTTAAATTTCAGCAACATGTTGAACATAAAAGGAACAAGAGAAGAGCAGCAGCTTTGTATCCGTAAAATTCACTAAGAACAAACCTCAAACTAATCCGAATTTTCATGCCGTCGTGTGAATTCTCTTTTCAGCAACACTTGTTTCTCAGAGATCGAATTCTTCATCTCTGAGAGCGATTTCAGCAGCCTCTTCATCTTCCTCGTCAAGAATAAAGTATTCATTTTTCTCCACCGGCCTAAACATGTAAAACATGACCAAATAAAATGCGAAACTAGCGGTCTCCTCCGCGGCATTACTAACCCATTGATACTTGTAAGCGGCGATCGTCCTCAAAGCAAACACCACAATTCTTGTGAAATACAAATACCCGATCACCACAATGTAAAACTGCCTAAACAGTGTCAATTTCGCCAAATTCCTGGCAGCCTTGCCATCGGTTTTCGAGGTTTCTCTCAATGAACGAATCGACCAAACAATCGGGAAGATAATGGCGCAACAGCAGATGATATCAATCAGCAGAAACAACTGATTCCATGTCACCCAATCTTTAATGAACGGCCCGGTTTCTCCGATCACAATCGAAGCGATATTGCTAAAACTTGGAGCGGGATCACGATCATCAAAACCTTCTTCTCCCTTCTTGTAAAAATGGTTTCAAAAACGACCAGCCGGTGCCGATCAAAATGATGACGGTGAAAAGCAAAACGACACGGATAAATTGAAAAATGTAGAACAAACATCCCAACCGTGAGGAGTTCCGGTGACCTTAACGAAATGCTTATCTTCGGCGGCGCAGATCAGATTCAATGCTTTGAATAAAAGCAATCCGGACATCAATAAATGGATCCGGTGTACGGATCGCTTGTTGGTATAACAAACGTAGATCCAACAACCCAATAAGACCAAGTAGAAGATCGAGAAGACGGTGTAAAGGGAAGGGAGGTGGGTTAGACCGGCGGATAGGTAATCTTTCGAACCGTCGCGTTCGAGGTTGTAGATTTCGGTCCGGACGTTCATCGAAATGCGGGTTTGGGGGGCGCAATTGGAGAAAAAGAGGGAGTATTCGTTGGGGGAAGAAACGCGATAAGTGCGGTTGAAACGCGAGAGCGGAGGTGGGGAGAGGTCCGCGAAGGTGAAGAGGTGTTGGATGTAGCGAGAATCGAGGACGCAGAAGTGAGGATTTTGTTGAATCTCGAGGAGGACTTGGAGGAGAGCTTCTTCGGACATGAGGAAGAAGCCGAGGCGGGAAGCGTCAGGGTTGGGGTCATTGGCGGAGGAAGTGACGGAGACGGAGGAGACGGAGACGGATACGTATCCATTGTGGGTGAAGCCGAATTTCTCGAAGAGGATCATGGGGCGGGAGTCGGAGGTGATGGTTAGGGTTTTGATCTCGGCGGTGGTGGAGGAAATGAGGGAGAGGAGGAGACAGAGGAGGATTTGCAAGGGCAGTTTCGTCATTTTGAGAGGGTTTACGGCGGTCGGCGTGGCTTGGACGGGAAGGAAAATGGAGAAAGTGACTGAATTTAAAAGGCTAAGGACATCGATTTGGTTTTTTGTTGTTGTGATTGTTTTATCAGTTGTTTTATCTAGACGACGAGGGTTGCGGAACCAAAAATAGGCAATTTTATAATAATAATAATAATAATGTGGATTGTAAGGCGATTTTACCGATATATCACCAGTGAACAGTATATTTTTTGATCTAATATCGGTCAGATTATATTTTCCGATCTAACACCCTTAGCAATAAAGCGCGCCCCCTGTATCGCGTTATACGATGATTTGGCGCCACGTAGGGTATAGCGCGCCCCTGCACCGCGCTATACGGTGATCTGGCATACACGTGGGTATAGCGCGACCCCTGCAGCGCGCTATACGCCACGTAGGGATATAGCGCGGGGCAGGTACCGCGACATACCTTTACTCCTGATATAATTTTATATAGTGCGGGGCAGGTATCGCATTTTGTATAACTTTCCTCGCTATAAATATCATTCTCCGCCAGTTAAGTTTCTCACATCTCTCCTCTCAACTTATAAATTAATACAACAATTCCGTCAACGAGTCAATAATTCTGGCAATCTTCTCATATTTTATTTAGAAGTTCGTGCGATTTTTCGTTATAAGGTAATTTTGTTATAATTTTTTATTATATTTATTGTTTATTATGATTATTTGAAAAAAATATTATACTAATTATTTTCAATTAATTTTTGTGTTTGTAAAATTAGAAAGCGGGAGCATACGTCGAAATAGTTTTGCGGTGCAGGTAATAATATTAAATTATATTATTTAATTTATTTACGTTGATGTGTAAAAGTTTTATTGTGTTATATGTTCGTTCATATATAATTTATTAAATCAGGTTTGTTTCATTTATTTTTTTTGCAAATATAATAGTGCCGCACTTTTAAACTCAAATAATGGCGCGACTTTCAGCTATTGTTTATTATGATGGTGAAATTCGAGAAGATGAAACCGGCGTTATTTTCGTATTAAATGAGCGTGTTAAAATATCATTCAAGAGAAACATAACTCTTGAGGAGTTGATAACGAAGATTTCGAGGAAGATTCATGTTGGAAGTAGTAGAAGAGTGTCGTCATTGCAATATAGATTTCCAACATCATTGTTGCCATTAACTTATACAGCGTTCGAACTTTCGAACAATGATGATGTTGAAATGATGGTTGAAGCTCAAAGTAATTATTCAGACGCCGCTATTGAGATGTATGTACATTTTGTTCAAGTGCGTGCTGTTCGGGGTCAATCATTAAGCTCCCACTCACTATGGGCTGACTGAACAAGTTGATCAAGTTGACAGCCCAACGAAAGTTATGTGTAATGATTTTAATGCCATAATGGGGAGACATTCATCCGCAACTCCTTACGATGTGTACCGAGGTAGGTCGACGAACAATACGTATGACAACATCGCATCCAATTCAAGGGGAATGCATTCATCTGCAAATCTCTTTGACCTTAATATGGAGATGCCATCGACACAACCATCTGTGCAGTTTCCATTTGACGCGATGGCTTCAAGCTCTAGGGGGAGGCATTCGACTGCGAGCTTTTTCGATCTCAATGTCGATATGCCTTCCATTTCAAGGGGAATGCGTGCAAGTAGTAGGTTCTACGACCTAAATGTGGAGAGCATGGAGGAATCATCATCTCTACCAGAAGAACCGCTTCGTGAGCCTGGTGCGGATGGTGTTGTGACTGGACTA